TGACCAAAATAGTTAGATTTCTACCATTAATAGCATAAAGGAAAACAACAATCACTTTCCTTCTGGTCAGCTGATTATGCTACTAAGTGGCCAGTGGTGAATTTGAATAAGATTTCGTGTACCGTATGAGGTCTGTATTTTTTGTATATGAGTAAACACTTATGTCTTTACACAGTCCTAGGGGTGAACCTTTTTTTCTCCAAAATTCTCCTCATAATCTGTAATCGCCTATAGGACATGTCATCCCTGAAACTTGGATTTTTAGATCTCTTCATGGAACAAAGAGCCCACTTTTTATTGTGTAGTTGTGTCATTCACCAGAAAGGAGGAGAATATTGCACAGCAATTTCATTTTGAAAGGAAAATATATTTGTTGCTCAAAGTTCTTTGCTTCATCTAGAAACACCTTTACAAAGCAGCAAGTCTAGTTCAGTACACAATATAATAACTTGCATAGATTTGGGCTATACAATAAATAAATTTGGTCTAGTGGTTAAAATTTCATATTCTCAAAATGTGACCAAGAAAATAGGATGGACTTGTTCATATACTCTCCAGGAATCAAGAATGACCCACAGACATTAAGGAAAAAATAATAATAAAAGCAAATAAGATACCCTCTAATGATGTTTAACCTGGAAACTAAATTCTGACCAAAGGAAATTAAGTATGTGTGTGTTTGTTGGTGTCTGTAAATGGTTCCTCAATATTGGTAAAATCTCTTGGGTGCCCCTAATTATATGGGAGGCATTGAATCAAACTTAAATCTAAGGGATTATCAAATGATACTCTTTAAAAGCATGGTTCACTACCAGATATTTGTAGATGGGTGAAGTGGATTTATATTTATGTTTGTGGAATATTCTACATAAAATGTCATATAAAGCATCTGCTATGTATGAACTACACTAGAATGAAAAATTTTAATTAGATTGATTTGTTGTACTGAAATACATTGTGACTATTTTGCTTTCAGATATGGTATTTAGATGGCATTTTCAGGAAATCTTTTAACATGATTGATTTATTTGTCACATTCTGGAATGGAATTGGACTTTTCAATATAGCAAATAATATGCTACTATGAAAGTATAAAGCTGTGCTATTTAAGATATGAGACTAAAATTGTGCTTAGATGTCAAAGTACAGTAAAAGAAATACATGCTGTCTTCAGTTTTGCTCTCTCATGTGAATATTTCATGTCCATTATAATAAAATGAGTGTCATTCTAATTTATGTTGTTTTGACTCTACATTGAATTCTTTAGGAAGGAGAGTCTCCTAATATTATAAGTGTTATAATTATATGTTTACCAATAAATGATTTTTTAAGGTAGACTTTAGCTATTAGTATTAAGAGATATTTGAAAAATGTACAGCTGACTGTTCTAGCAAGGGTCAGCTAAGTTATTAATTAACAGACTTATTACAGTCTTGACTATTTAATGGGCAGATCACATGTTTCAACTATTTCACAGATTTTTTTTTGTACCAACTGCTAATTTTGGAACATGAACATAACAAAACAAAACAAATTCTATCACATATATTTGGGCTTGCAAAATTAAATGGCATTTTCAGCTTTATTATTTCTTCAGAAATCAAAAGGATACTGTTTTACTGTTAATAAAACTTTTTTTTATATGGTGTTGTCAATTTGTATATCCTGAAAGGGATACATATAAACACATTCTTTGGAATGTATTTAAATTTTAAAATATTTAAAATGCTGTTTTAATTCCAATGAAGTCATGCAGATTTTCTAATATAAATTTTATGGTTTTGTCCAATTGATCCTGATCATGGTTCTTATCAAACTGAAGTTGTTTTATATGAATTTATTATGATATTTTCATTGTTTTGTTTAATAATAGCCCCGGATGTGTATTTCTAGATATATTTGTCAAGATATTGTATTTTAAGATATGATGGCTCAAGTAGTTTTTTTTCTTTTCAACAACATTCTGGCTATCTTTGATGTAAGTTCTAATCCTCTCTTAGGCATGGAACCCAGCTGGATGACATGGGACAGTGTCTCATTCTTAACCATAAACCACTTCACAGGTTATTGTGAGAAAAATAGGAGACAGAAGCATTGAATTAACAAATATGCATCGGATAGATGGATGCGGAGAGAGAGAAAGAGAGAATGTCTTAATACCAAGTTAACCTACTGAAATTGCCTTTTCTGATACAGCATTATTTGTTATGCAAATTGATACATAAAATTGTGCCAATTAAGAGCTTAATTGAACAGCAAATACTTAAAACTTCTAATAAAAGACAGTTAAGTTAAATAAAACTGCTAATGTTCAGTATTGATACTATATCTATATACCTTTGTTAGCTGAAACAATTGATACCTTACTTGAAAGATTAATGTGCAAGTATAAGGAAATGTGAGACCAAACCTTGCATTCTACTGTGAATTAATCTGGTAGTAGATGCACAATTTTTTAAAATGTGGAGAATAGCATTTTAGACAGCCTCTGCTGCCCTCTCCTGCTGATGATACTTACCTGGGTTTTGGCTTAGGACAAAATATATGGCTGGGCAGTGGATAAGAGATTTCAGCCTAGAAAATGGCAAGAGGGCTGCCAGTATAATTTTTAAAAGCAATAAATGTTCCAGAAGTTATAGGGTAAATCTAAAGTAATCATGTGCTGATGAATATATTTAAATGTCTTTATATGAATTTAGTAAATGTATAATAACCGATATATATCTGTGCATTTGGTTGTTCATAATGCTTCACATAGATTACTTAATTTCTATTTGTTACAATTTCTTCAATATAATTATCCTTCTTACGATAGGTATAGGAATACATAAAGAATAGTAAGTTCTAATTATTAATTCTGTAACTGTATGATTACATATTTTATTATATCTATTCAATATGTTTGATTTCATTAGAATCAAAGAAAGCTCAAAAATACAGAAAGAAAGCTTCTTTGTGTGTAAAGACAATATATATGTCTATAATGTTTGTGTTATCTCTATTAGGTATGACACTATCTCCTGTTCTTGAGAAAATGCAGAACACATTTGAAAGTTACTTAGAAATTATTTGAGTTTGAAGGAAAATGATTATAAATAAGACAATTTAAGAAAAGTAAAGTATTTAAGGATAACCTCTTAGTCCTGTAAGTCTTTGTGTTTATTTACCTATACAAATATGCCTCTTGTATCATTTCAACAAGCATATTCTTGCCATATAGCTGTTAATAGTTCAGTATTGTGAAAATTTAATTAGTGTGAAGAATATATGGAAAAATATATAAATTGTATATATGTATGTGATTTATTTTATATATATATGAAATAAAATTTAGTTAGAAATTTGCAGCTTCCTAAATTATTTCCTAATTTAATTCTAATAAAATAACTGGAGACGCTAATTAAACTTCATAGCATTAACAAGAGGTTGATGATATCTGCAAAACCTTTCATGTCTCAGATTGGATATTTGTAGGGCTGCCTTCTGTTTCTGTTTCTTACTGTTTCTCCTTTCCTATAAAATTGGACAGATTTGGCATATTCTGAATATTATGAATCTCTGAATAAAGTTGTGGTTCAGTAGAACTGAAAACTGGAACAGCTTCAAAATAAGGGCAATGAAATTTATTTAGAAACTGGAAACTAAGTCTTAAAAGAAGAGTTGTTCCACAAGGTGCAGTTTTCACTCTCTTTCAACCCACCAATGCCTCACAAATCAGTATAAAGCTGATCTTAAATTAGACTCATTTTTTTTCACCTCAGAATCTTGGGAACAGATAGTGGACACTATAGCCAATCAGTTCTCTCTCTGACTAATCAGTAAGAGATTTGTAAAACAGTGTCCTGCCTCCAGACCCCCACAGCTTTTGCAATAACTATAACAGCAATGAAATAATTTTATCCTCCATCTCAGAAAAAAGAGTAACTTTACTTTTACCTTAGATCATACTTATAAATTTGAAATGTGCAGCAGTTCCAATCCTTCAGTCTTTGGGGATCTGAACGTACAGAACTGATTAGATTTCTTCTTATTTAAAACTATTTAAAGCTATTTTTGAAATGACCCTGACAAATTGACAGTTATGTTGTCTGAAAATATTGTAAATTCTATGTTTAGCTGTGCTTTCTGAAATATAGGCTTGAAGCATAAAATAAAACCTATATTTATAGTTACAGTCATCATAGTATGCTCTTGCCTAATTCTGTTTTTTAAACAGAATATATCTATAATAGAGAAAAGACATCACAGGATAAAGCAAGAGGAACTGAACTTTGCATCTAAGTAAAAGAATTCTAAATTCATGGAAATATGGTTTGTCAGGATAGAATAATCATCTCTTGATTTCTTATGTATTTCTGAAAATATTTCCTGAAACTAAATGTCTAACACTATTTACTGCTTGGAAAAAAATAGACATGAGAACTCAAAAGAGCAAATTACTTGTCTTCTTTTGCCTGCACGTAGGGTAATAGTTGTTGCTGTCTGCAATTCATTATGCATATATTTTCTGCAGCAAACTTTACTTGAGCATACTATTTCTTGATGTCCTAAGAAAGTATGTAATGGTTCCTAATCTAAAGCTTTTGGTTATCAGACAGGAAACTATCAGTTTGCTTCTATTCTCCACCTTTAGTGTTTTTGAAGTAATTTTGATAGACCACAAAAATCAAGATTTAATGAAAGAGGGGGGGAAATCTGATAATTCTTAGCAGCATCACCTATTTTACAATTAAAATTTAAAATTAGAATTAAAATTTAGGCCACAACCCCCTTCTTAATGTAAGAATTCAAATTAAAAGCTGCTATACAGATGGTTGTCTGCCATCTCTTTGATCATGGCAACTTAATGGAAGCCCACCAATTCTGGTTATTTAGTTCCACTATCAAATTACTTTTATTACTAGGAATTGTTTCCTAGGATTCAATTAGAACGTGGTTAACTTCTGTGTGATATCACTTTAGGTACTCGAAGAGTACCCCCTTGTTCTCTTCTTAAAGTTAAACATTACAAGATCAATTTCTTTTCATAAAATGTACCTCTGAATCTGTTCTAGTTTATCCTCTGCTGAGTATTAGACAAATTACTTGAAGTTGGAGGCAGACCAAAAGAAATTTTATTTTACAGATACAGTTACTCAGTCAGGTAATGGTTCTCTTTAGTTGGCATTTGTTGTTTTGTTTTCTAGGTGAGGAACTTTTCATTTGTTAAATGTTACTTTGTTACTTTCAACCAATTTCTGTAAGCTGTTTAGGTTATATTTTATTTCTCTTTTCTAGGATATTAGCTATCTTACCTGATTTTGTGTCAAATTCGGAAAACATTCCCTCACTTAAGTAGATGATCCAAAGTTGTTTATGCCATTTCTTCTTGAAAGTTTACATTTGTTTGATTCTGCTATATTCTTATACATTTGAAGAAATTCAGTGAAATTGGAGAATATATGATTTAGTGTGTTTTATTCAACAAACTATAATTTGCCAGCAAATTTGGAAAACACAATAGTGGCCACAGGATTGGAAAAGGTCAGTTTACATTCCAATTCCAAAGAAAGGCAATGCGAAAGAATGTTCAAACTATCACACCATTGCACTCATTTCACATGCTAGTAAAGCTATGCTTAAAATCCTACAAGCTAGGCTCCATCAGTATGTGGATCAAGAACTACCAAAAATACAGACAGGATTTCAAAGAGGCAGAGGAACTAGAGATTAAATTGCCAACATGCGCTGGATCATGGAGAAAGCTAGGGAGTTCCAGTAAAACATCTACTTCTGCTTCATTGACTATGCTAAAGCCTTTAATTGTGTGGATCACAACAAATTATAGCAAGTCCTTAAAGAGATTGAAGTACCAGATAATTTTATTTGTCTCTTGAGAAACCTATATGTGGGTCAAGAAGCAACTGGACACATATGCAAAATTATGAATTACCATGACCTGAGAAAAAAGTAATTCTGTTAATTGATATGGATGAATGGGTAGAACAAGATGGAGAGTACATAAAAAGTGATTTGAATATTCAGAAACCCCCAAATAAATGAGAAAGGTGGCTTTTTGATGACTATCCGCTTAGGTAAAGGTCTGCTCCTTTCAGATGTGTTATTTAAGCAAAATCTACTCCTAAGTATACTTGGCAAAGACATAAAAATAAACCTACAAGCATTATGATCATTTATGAAGAATTGAGAAAGATAGTGAAAAAAAACAAAGGTGATGAAACGTGGGACAAACCATTCATGGTTGTATCAAGAAGTAATCTTGCATAACATTGAAAGATATGAATGAAATGAGATATGAAATGAAAGAAAAAGGAAAAAAAATAAAGTAGAACATTTACAGGAAGAGAAACTGGGTGCTGTATGAAAAAGTGTAAAGAATTAATCACATAACACAATGAATGGAGATTGAACTAAAGAGAATGTAGATATTGCTTGGAATACATTGAAAATTATGTTAATAGTCCATCAAAAGTATATGGAGTTATGTAATTATTCATTAATTATTAGAATTATTAAATGGGCAAGACTCTGGATGAGAATAAAAATTAATATAAGAGAATGATTGCTGCAAAAAGAAAAAAATATAAAAAAGATATTTTATTTTATTTTATTTATTTGGTTTGTCAATTGCTTACAAGATAATAGGTATAAGTAAAAACATAGTTATGAATACATGGATACATATAAGAAAAATAAAAAAAAATAAAAGAAACAATAGGACAGGGATGGTAGGCACATTGGTGCGCTTATGCATGCCCCCTACAGACCTCTTAGGAAAGGGGTGAGGTCAGTAGTAGACAGTCTAAGGTTAAAGTTTTTGGGGTTTGGGGAAGAAACCACAGAGTCAGGTAGAGTATTCCAGACATTAACCACCCTGTTGCTGAAGTCATATTTCCTGCAATCAAGTTTGGTGCAGTTTACCTTGAGTTTGTGTCTATTGTTTGCTCTTGTATTGTTATGGTTGAAGCTGAAGTATTCATTGACAGGTAGGACATTGCAATGTATGATTTTATATACTAAGTTCGGGCTGAAGGTGGCATAGTTCTAGGTTTTCTAGGTCTAGAATTTCAAGTTTGGTGGCATAAGGTATTCTGCAACGAGTAGAGGAATGGAGAACTCTTCTTGTGAAATATTTCTGGACTTTCTCAACTGTGTTAATATCAGATATGTAATGTGGGTTCCAGACTGATGAGCTGTATTCGAGTATTGGTCTAGCAAATGTTTTGTATGCTCTGGTTAGTAGTGTAATATTACCTGAGAAAAAGCTACGTAAGATTACGTTAACAACTCTTAACGCCTTTTTGACTATGTAGTTACAGTGGGCTCTAGCACTTAGATCATTAGAGATGAGTACTGCAAGATCCTTTACAGAGTTTGGATCATCAACAAGGTCTTGACTATTCAGCCTGTATTTTATTTTTTGATATATATTTTTTGCCAATATGTAAGACAGAGCATTTATTTGTTGAGATTTGAAGTTGCCATTTGTTTGTCCATTCTGATACATAGTCAAGGTCTTTTTGAAGGGTAGCAGTATTGTCTGTGATGTTGAATAGCTTTACATCATCAGTGAAGAGAATGCTGAGTCATTTTGTAAAAAAATTAAACATTGTCTTGATTTTTGTAAAAAAAAGTGAAGCGAGGGAATACTGAGAGAAGATTTCTAGAGATTTATGTGGGAATAATAGTGATATGTTAAAAAATAAAATTGACACTAACCCTATATAGGTTATTTTCCAAGATGTTGAAGAGTTATTTGTAGATTATATAAAAGATATTTGTAAATGCTGTTCCATTTGATGAGCCAGTTTCATACGATAGATAGATAGATAGATGGATGGATGGAAGGAAGGAAGGAAGGAAGGAAGGAAGGAAGGAAGGAAGGAAGGAAGGAAGAAAGAAAGAAAGAAAGAAAGAAAGAAAGAAAGAAAGAAAGAAAGAAAGAAAGAAAGAAAGAAAGAAAGAAAGAAAGAAAGAATTCTTTATTGGCTAAGTGTGATTGGACACACAAGGAATTTGTCTTGGTGCAAATGATTTCAGTGTACATAAAAGAAAAGCACTACATAAAGTGTACATAAAGGCACTAGGTCAGAAAGTGGGAGCCCATGAGTTCTAGTGCTTCCTTAGGCACAAAGCCAGCTAGGTGACGTTGGTCCAGCCCTTCTTTCTTTCTTCTTTCTCAGCCTTGGGAAGGAAGCCATAGCAAACCACTTTTCAAAATGTTGCCAGGAAAACGGAATTTTCCAGACAGTTGCCAGGGGTCAGACTGACTTGAAGCAAAGGAAAAAAATATCCTGTGTGAATGATTAAAAAATGGTATAGCAAGAGATATAGACAATGTAACTAAAGAAATGTTAAAATATGGATATATGGTATGCTTTGACTTTGATATGCATATTTTTATTTAATCAGATATTTGTCAGATTTATATTCAGCTTTTCCTTTAAGAGTTTAAATTCCAATATTAGTAGTATTTTCCTGTTTTAAACTTTCTACCTAGCATCAATTCTGTGAGTTTGATTGGGAGGAGAAAGAATGACTGGCTGAAATATATCCAACAAGTTTCCATATCTGCAAAAAAAATAATAATAATTAGATTGTATTGTAGAAAGTTAGCACCTACTCCTCTCCTAGAAGAATGAAATATTTTAGGAAATATTAAAAATGCAGAATATTATATTTCCCTGGATGAGAAATGGAGAAACATGTTTTTAGGGGGAGAAAACAGCCCCCACCCTTTCTTAATAGCCCACAGCAGATGTGGGCTATCACTTAAGAGATAAAGAGATAGGCATCTCTATTCCTAAGCAAATACCCTCACTCAAGATCCAACACAGGAAAATTACGCAAACACCCTTTCAGAACACAAGCCCCTTCATTGCATCACCCTCAGAAATTTCAACCAAACTTAGCTGAGACAAACACCTAAGATTTGTATTTTGCCAATAGAGCCAGCTATGACCCCTACATAATCCCTTCTGGTCCTATGGGAGTCTGACAACAGCCAATAGAATACATGTTCTTGCACAGGAACAGGAAGTTCACGTGTAAAACCCAAGAGAAGGTAAAAAAACTCCCCACTCTCAACTCCATGTGGTCAGCTGCCCCAAACCCATGTGATTCTGCTTCATCATTAAACTATCTTTCCAATCAGCTTCCATGTTTCCAGTGTCTTTCTCCCGGCTTGGAACTGAACTGGATGTTTCTTCCCACAGTTATATGGACTGATAGTAAATAGAATGCACTGGGAATGCAGATGATTCTCTTATCCAAAAGTTAGAAATGTTTAGGATGGCTTATAATTTCTGTGGTGAAAGATCTGGCTTTTTTTGGCAAAATATTTTTTTACTATCTCCAGTTGGTTACTATTTTTATCTGATTCTAGAGAGGTATGCGATTATATATAGGATTAGGTTAATATAATGTACTATAGACGAGGCTATCCTTAGATTGCCATGGAACTTGGAGTGACTAGGAATAGGACCTTCTGAATGATAGATCTCAAGTATACAACTCACTTCCAAGGCAAGTTTTCCTGGCTGTTGTCTTCTAAACACCAACTGAAAAGATGTCCGGTCATTACAACAACAGTTCTAGGGCCAAGTTATCTTTTAGATGGCTTTTTTAAAACAATTTTTTATGACTTGTTGCATTCTTGTGATTGATTGTTGCCTTTATTTAATTTATACCCTCCCTTTATTATTTATAATATATTGCTCATTGGAGATTGGAGCACAAGTTGGAGTAAATTTCCCCAGCAGGAAAACTGGCTATTATAACCTTTTTGTTACAAGCATTTTAAAATCTATTTTATTTTTTGGGTGGCATCATTGTAAACCTGTGCTTATCTCTCTTTTTTTTTTTAACTTAATATGTTAGCTTTGCTATAGATTTTCTTGGCCTGCTTTATTATCCCCACATACAGAGCACAGTTTTAAAATATTTTTTCTTTAGTACAGTATCTATCAAATTGAAAGACTTTTGTTTATGTTCTGTATTGAAGTTCCCTGTACTCCAATTATCAAGTGGCCTTGAAATTTTTTGCTTATTCTTGGGCAATGTGCATTCCCTACTAATTGGGCTCATCCGACTTTCTGGTGCCTTCTGCATTTATCAACAATTTGAAATAACACATTTGGTCTTAATTATTTCTTTAATGACAAGTTTCCTCAGCGTTCCATGATCTTTTGAACTAACTCCTAGTAGACCCAAATACTCCAGAATTAGTTCACCAGGAACAGCTTTTCCACATTAGAGTTTAATAACAGGTGCAGTGACATTAAAGAGCCAATTCTTTCTTATGCAGACAAGGTTGTTCTGATAATATGACATTTCTACCAACTTTATGGTGCTGCTATTTGAATTAACTTGTAAAGCATTCAACCCTTTAGGTCCGTGATGGCGAACCTATGGCACATGTGCCGGAAGTGGCACGCAGAGCCACTTCTTCTGGAACATGTGAGGTCACCTGGAAGAGCCCCTGTGCATGCATGTGCATCGCCCACCTGATAGATGATTGTCGGGTATCTGTCATGCATGTGTGGGGGCATGCAGGAGACATGTGTGCATGCATAGGATGCATAGCATGCATGGGGGGGTCTCGTGCACATATGCAGAGATGCATGGCACATGGGGGATCACGCATGCATGCGCAGACGTGCAGCACAGGGGGTCATGTGTGCATGCACAGAGGGGCATGGTGGCCTCGTGCGCATTGCCTTCTGGGTGCTGGCACGCGAGCGCACAAGTGCATGCATAATTTTCAGCACGGGAACCAAAAAGGTTAGCCACCACTGCTTTAGGTGAAGCTGCCTGAAGGAGTATTTCCTTACAGATTGCTGCCAGGCCAAGAATTTTAACCTGAGCAATTGATTAGGAGTAAAAGGCGTTGAAACCTTATTGCCTGTTTGCTGGCAAAGCTCATCTATTAAGAAGAAAAATTATATTTGTTTATAATGTTGGACTACAGAAAATCTTTCCCACACAGGGTTTTCCCATGCCAGATTTGTTTTAATAATTAGTTTTCATGAAGTGAATACAGTATAATATTGTTAAAATGTATTTAGCTGAAAAATGCTGTAAGAGAGGCAGTTATTATGACTGCTGTAAATGCATGGGATTGTGCTGGCAGAAAAGGAGTAAAACACGTATACTACAAAAAGAAAAAAGTATCTTAGAAAAGAAAAAAGTCTATAGTATTTCATTTTTTAATTGTATATATCCTCATTATATATTAATTGTATTTAAATGTAATTAAATGTATACATTTAATTGTATATATCCTCAGTTAAAGTGTAACAGCATCTCTTTTAAGACTTCTGGCATCATAATCAGTTTTTAAAAATATTTTTACTCAGTATTCTTATTTGAATGGTCAGATTATGCATATGTTCTCTATTTTTCTGTACATACATATAGACACACATACATAATATGCATATATACTTATACACACAGAGAATTGTGTATTTACATAAATTAGGTTATACATATTACATCTCTTTCTCTCTCTGACATGTATATGAAATATGAACTCCAAAACTGCAACATTTTTAACAACAAACCTACAAAATGACAGTGTGTTTAAAAAATGCTAACACATATACACATGTTCCCCCTAGTTCAGTGGTGGCTAACCTTTTTGGGCTCCCGTGCCAAAAATAGCATGCAGGCTCATGTGCCAGCACCCAGAAGACAATGTGCACAGTCCCCCCATGCCCCCTGTGCATACGTGCGTGAGACCCGCTGTGCATGCCATGCACCTCTGCACATGTATGCGCATCTCCCATGCATCTCTGCACATGCGCGTGTGTCACCTGCACACCCCCATGTATGCGCGCCAGATACCCGACAATCAGCTGGTGGGTGGCGGGCGCACACGTGTAGTGGGCTCTTCCGGGTGGCCTCTTGTGTGCCGGCAGAAGTGGCTCTGCGTGCCACTTCTGGCACACATGCCATAGGTTCACCATTACGGCCCTAGTTGAATACTGATAAATATATTACAGTAATATTAGTTTCCCACCCCTTGCAAAACAGCCCTTCAAAATTTTAAACTAGTAATTCTATTTGCATATTATTAACCAATCATCTTATCTACTATATTAATGACAAAATAATTAACAAGTGGAACAATAATTAAAAATGCAAGATTATAATTTCAAAACCTCCTGTTTACAAACTCTTATTGTAATCAACTTGTAGAAAGTTTCCGACAGCTTCTTAACTATCCCTAATCATTCCAATAGTTAAAATTAATTTGTATTTTAACTTTTTTTGAATAAAATAATAGTAAAGAAAAAGAGAAATATGAACACCAAACAATATATCTTTGGCACACTTTGGTAATGTACTATTTTTACAACACAACTGTGCTGCTGCATTGTACAGTACACATGTATGTCTCCCGATAGGTTTTGTGCCTGTCATTATCATGCACATATGAACTATTTGCACTTGACTAAACACAGAGTTAAAAACAAATTCAGTTTAGATATTTTGTTACATATATTGGGGGGCGGGAGGCAAAGCTTATCACAAAACTCATTAATTTGGAATGTAACTTGCACTAACAATTTGCTCCTGGAATTTAAAGGGCAGCCAGGAGATGGCATGTGACCTTTAATAGGAAAGATTTATATAAGAAGGGAGTTGAGAGGAAATGAGATTGAAAAACTAGATTTTTTTTCTCCAGGATTTTAATATTTAGTGTGTACTATTTAAGCAGAATGGTCTACAACTAAGCGGTATTTGTGGCTGATTCTTCATTTGAATTTGTGTGTTATAGATGTACTATTCTTCCAGATTTTGTAGTACAGTCCTTAAATTGATATTGTGTATGACCAACCCTAACGTTGGACTGCAATTCAGCTATTGTATTGATTATGTAAAGAAAACATTTAAGTGTATCTTATTAAATCATTAATAACTTGCATAAGATTTGTAGAATTTTATGAGTTATACATTACATGATTTAAGACATAAGAAAATATGTCTTAATTGTAAACAGGCATTGTAAATGGACATTAATTGTTTGCATCTTAATATTGTATTTTGCTTGACATCTGTTCTTGTATGTTTGGCATTCATATTTTTATATTTTAAACACATCTAATTATCCATTATGCATAAATAGAAAGTATCTTGCACCTGGGCCCCTTTTCACTGGCAGAGGGCTGCAGGAGGCCATCGCAGCTGAAAATGGGGCAGGGGGAGCATTTTTGCTAAAAATAAAAACAAAAGGAGAAATGAGAATGCAAGGGACAGGAAAGGAGAAAGGGAAAGAAGAAAGACAAAGAAAAAGAAGGAAAGATAGCAAGGAAGAAAAAAGAAAAGGAAGGAAGGAAAGAAGGAAAGAAGGAAGGAAGATTATAATGAGAGTGAGGGAGGATCTAAGGGAATGTTCTGACCTAGGCTTTAAAAAGCACTAAGCAGACTTTTTGTCCCGTCAAAACCCCTTTTATTAAACGAAGGTGAATTTCTTGCATTCACATTCAGCCAAAGGCCTGGCAAACAGTCTTTCAAGGGTCTAAATAGGAGCACAGACCTTATCTAGCCTGGAGAGGTACCAAATAAATATTTTCAAACGCAGTGCTGACAAGGAAGGGCTTGGCACAGAGTGTCTGAGATGCACAGGCAGATCTTCACACTGCTGCAACAAACGAATGAATGAATTGTTTCCTGCAAAAGCCCCCTCCCCTTTTGCTCCTCTTTTAATCCCTATGGGAGGAGCCATACACTGTTCACCTGTGGTCTTATTCCCACGTCGACCCTTAGTTCGTAATTGTTCTTTTCTTTTGGCAGCTCTGCGCATGTGCAGGCTGGGAACTGGTTCCAGCTGCTCCCCCGCCTCATTGCTGTCTGACTCTGAAGGCAGCTGATAACTGCCAGCCTGCCCTGGCCCTCTGACACAGAGTCCTCATCCAAGCCTTCCTCAGCCTCCAGGACTGGCCCATGTTCCTTCCCAACCTCCTCACTGTCCAACTCTGTTGCCAGCTCCGATAGCCACTGGCAAGCCACAACAGGGAAGTCCTGCCTTAGCAGTTGGGTGATGTCAAGCTGGCCATGCCTACCCTGGCCAAGCCTACATCAGCCACCCCCACCCACCCCCGAGGTCAAACACAACCCTGATGCGGCTCATTGAAATCAAGTTTGACACCCCTGCTATATGGAATATTGTCATTAGGCATTATCAATCTCTTAACCTTAAAAACTATCTTCTATGCTTTTTAATACCTTTCTAATATAAATGTTTAATGTTAATAATTTCTGTGTTGCCATTTTAAAGATTGAATTCACATATATGTCTTTTCATATTTAGTATGATAGAAGTTCTATAATCTAAGACTTGGAAAAAGAAGACATTAATGGATAGTTGAAAGAATGCATAGAAATCAGAGCTTGTGAAAGTCACTGACCTAATAAATTTATTATGGCCAGGAATGTTATGGCAGTCAGATCTTCCTACGTCTGAGTAGGAATAATCAAGGTCATCACAAAAATCATATCTAAACATTAGAAGAATTCACTGTGTACATTACCCTCAAGGTTGTTTGTTTGCCTTTTAATTTGTATAGTCTGCATTTTTAAAGGAAATGTAGATGCTAGATCTGATAAAGTCATATTAATTTTTGAAGAATTTTTGGCTACATTGAAATATGATGAGCCCATTATTATGAATGGTAGTAATAATGCAGCTTTACAAATAGTTGTATATGGGATGGTTCAAATCAAAGAATCATAGAATGGAAGAGGCCAGCTAGGCCATTAAGTCCAACCTGATATTTCCAGGCTTATGAAACTGCATGGCTTTCTTAAATGAGGTCTGGTTATTTTTTTAAAAAAATAAGAGGGTTAAATGTGTTAATGTAAGCAATGTGAACCAATGTGTGATCTGTTGTGGTGTAGACAGATTCTTGTGGCATTCAGTGTGAATTCTGATTTTAAAAATGAGCTTTTGAAAACTTTTCATTAAATGTGAGTAGTTTGTTTTTCATTTCCAAATGACATTTTATATTATATTGAAATCAAATATTTCCTCTCTGCTTTTCTCAAGTTACTTAGAATGATTATAAACATATGGAAAGGTGGTTTGTTACAATGCTGAAACCATAGGAACTTTATTTAGATGCTTTTTAAAAGCAAGATTACATTATAGTGTTTTCATTTGGTTTATATCTAAGACAAAGAGTATCTAAAACAAAGTTTATATCTAAGTCAAAGAATATCTTTGTATCTTTTGTTTATATCTAAGACATGTATCTTAATACTACATCCACAGTATGTTTATTAAGAACTATAAATACTAAAAGCTGTCAGTTCAAAACAGCATTTAGTATTTAAAGTTCTTAATATAACATGGCACTACTTTGCAGTTTATTTCTTTGACAACTTTTTAATAGGAAAAATAAAATTCTAGAACTTCATTTTGATATTTGGTATTTGTCTTTTCCTTTTATTTGTAGGCTCAGCAGATGGTTTGGGGAAAATAATACAGAGATTTCCCTTAGAGGATTTGGATGATACTCCTTTTCCACAGGGAATAGAGTTGGTAAGTTGATCTGTAGCATGCATTTATAAACCTTTAATTCTGGATTTGTACATCAAAACGACACTATAGAGCACTGCACACCAGAACAACTAGACACAAGAACAGTTTTTCCCCAAACGCCATTACTCTGCTAAACAAATAATTCCCTCAACACTGTCCAACTATTTACAAAGTCTGCACTTATTAATCTTCTCATCACTCCTTATCACCCATCCTCTCCCACTTGTGACAGTATGACTGTAACTTTGTCGCTTGTATCCTTACGATTTATATTGACTGTTTCCTAGTATGATTTGATTGCTTATTGTACCCTATGATTATCATGAAGTGTTGTACCTTATGATTCTTGACTCTTGATGAATGTATCTTTTCTTTGATGTATACTGAGAGCATTTGCACCAAAACAAATTCCTTGTGTGTCCAGTCACACTTGGCCAATAAAAGAATTCTAATCTTCTAATCTAATCACACTTTGCCATAAGATTAGCTTAGGTTCAATTGTAAATTTATATTGTGAACAAATCATTGCTTTGAGTATTTGAACTTAGTAGGACGTGTGCATGTGAGATTCTGGGCTTCATTTTCTGGTGTTCATTTTTGAGAGGAAGAATTCATAATATCACAAATTTGCCAGATTTCAAGAAAACAGGAGTGGAGGCACAGAACAAATGTTGATATTAATATTTTCTTCTGAATTAGAAACTGTACAAGTAATAGACTTTCTGTGAATTGAGAACTGCTGGGCTTCTTTTTTAGTAATAGTAACATTTTTATTGCAGTGCACAATTTGATGTATGGAGAAAGATCTGGACTATGATGATTTTGATTTAATTGTATCCAAAAATGCCATATTTCATAAACTAGTTTTAAATCAGTGAGCTGAAGGCAATTCATTTCAGTTTTCACCAGAAATTCTTAAGATTTTATTACTTAGAAGACTGTCAGTACATAATTCCTACCAGGCATGTATGGATTATACATTATCTGCACTACCAGTCTAACTTAATCAACCATTTCAATTTGACAAGCCAATCTAACTTAATCAACCGTTTCAATTTGACAAGCCAATCTAACTTAATCAACCATTTCAATTTGATTATTATGGAATGGCTTCTACACAGATTTGACAATCTGTGTAGAAGCCATTCCATAATAGAACTCCATACAATAGCTTCAATTTTAATAGTATTCTTCCTGGATAATTATTCTAAAATATGTAGCATCTATATACAATATTTAAAATCCTATTTAGGGATCCTATATGCAGATATTGTGCATATTTAGATTGGCATCCAGGATAAGGCATATTTTAATATTACAGCAGCCATATGGCATACAGGCTTTCTGGCACTCATGCATACAGTAAGGCGAAGTGTAAACATAGTTCTTTGGTTCTGAGCCATAAAAGGAAATGCTTATCACTATACATTTGCACATGCAAGAGTAACTGTGAGCTTCCTGTTCTTATAAACAAGATCATGATATTCTGACATAAATTGTGAACAGATATGCATAATAACCCATTATTTTGGTGTTTTAATACATCCATACATACTTTGGGAACATTTTTTTCTGTTTCTTGTAAAAGTCACATTGTCAGGAAAATATGTTTAGAGATGTGATTCAAAAATTAAGCATAATGAATTCTTGGCTAAGATGCATTTGTATTATGGGAAAAGAATACAATAAGAGCAATCAGTTCTGAAGTTTTATTATATACATACAAAAAGGCTTCTTTTTAAATTATAGTTGTATTTATATCAGTAAATAAGAACTTCAGAGAAAATTGTTGGGCTTTTGAAAACAGGTAATACTTCACAGAATCTCTTGATGCTAGGGATGTTACAACATACAGTATATAGTGTTTAATTTTTTTAAACATTTTTTATTTAATGTATATTTACATTTTTTATTTTTATACTGTGACATTCCATGTAGTTTATTAAAACCTGATAATAATTCAATTCATAGTAAAAACAACTTTATAAACAATGTACTGTAAACTTATTGTCATATGTCATATACAAACCTAGCTTACTTATAAACTTAATGGCTTATAAACTTGATGATTATTAAATATCTATAAAACTTTCCACAGGTTTTGATAAAAGTGAAAAACAGAATTTCTATTAATTCTTTTAAAATTGCTGCTTAGATCAGTGGTTCCCAACCTTTTTTTCGCCCCGCACCCCTAAATAAATTTCACTCGAACCTCTCACGCCCTGAAATTTAGACTTTAGGAACTACTGAACGCGTTAAATATATGGTAGGATTGAATCTTTTCAGCTATGTATGTGACGGCCACTAAATAACGATACTTAACTCTAAAATGAAAACAAAGTTAATCCATTGCATAATAAATAAATAAATAAATAAAAATAAAAATAAATAAAAATTACCTGGGCTTTTCTCGCACCCCCTGGAATATCATCTCGCACCCCCAGGGGGTGCGAGCACCCCAGGTTGGGAACCCCTCGCTTAGATTAAGGTTTCCTATCTGATATATTTTTTCTTTCTTCTGTCATAGAAACTCAAAGTATTGTACATGGGTTTTATGTGTGTCTCCAACCTTATCTTTTTCAGATCTAGGCCTCCTTTGCTTCAATAGGTTGCAATCATGTAGCATTGAGCCATAATCAAGAAGTTCTTTTTTATTTTATGAGAAGTGAGGGAATAAGGACAATCACACCTTTGTTTTTAGAAATAATGTAATGTAAAATTCTCTTTCAAAACTATTTGTAAAGACACAAATACATCATTTCCTCCTTAATTACAAATGACATTCCATTTATTGTCAAATGGATGATGGGGTACTTTATCCTCTGATCAGTTTTTAAAAACTCAATATATTTTTTAGTCTGTGGCATGTCTACTAGTCACTATAGTCCAGGTTTATAGTCTTATTCTCTGTTAATTTTCATACAGCTGAAAATTTAAAATTCAAAAAAATATAAATTGACCTTAAATAAATTAGAAAAGGCACTTGGTTTAAAACAAAAATTCCAAAAATTGCATAATTTTACATTATCAAAATATGTGTGCTAAGAAAACTTTCTGTTACATTTCCAGTGATTTTGAGAAAGTTGAATTCCCCAAGCTAAAAATATAGAGTTCACAATGCCCTAAAACTGAATTTTAATTTTAATCTCAAATCATATGTTTCTTCATTTCCACTAGTAGAATTCCATTCATTTTTAGAAATATAAATCTCTAAACTAAACTTCATTGTTTTCTAAGGTTCAGAACAGGAAGCATACCCATATATAAAATACTGAATCTTTTCAAAATCAAGTGGATATTTGAATTGCCCACTGAACCACTTGGTTTAGTGAAATATATTTCAATTCAAAAGCATTCCTGGCAATCAGGTTTATACACTTTTTAAAAATATTTTTTAAATATTGTCTTTATTATTTGTATAAATAGTCAAAGTGGTGGACATATCTAATACTACTTCCTCACCCCAGTTTCTTCACAGCAGCCATGTGAGGTGTGTGTGGCTGAGGGAAGTGATCCAAAATCACCTAGCCAGCTTTCATGCCATTCTAAAGAGCTGTCTTTAATGCTGGTATGAAGAACTATGGTACACTAGCCTTGAATTACTTGAAACAAATTTAGGACACCAAAATACTGGGAAGGCAATATTATACCAGTTTCTGAAAAGATATGCAAAGCACATATTTTTGCTATACTTTTAAAAGGAAGTGCAGGTCATTCTATTCTATTGAGCTGTTTTGTGAACTTTGTTAATTGTTTCATTGAAATGAATTCAAATATTTCTATGTAGTAATAATCTTGTTTTAATCTATCAAACAAGATTGGTTAAACAATTTTAATTATAGTTGAATATATAAGACCTTAATCAATATAGTTTGAAAGTAAAATTTTATGATGCCACATTACAGGGCAAAGTTATCTTTAAAAGTCATGATTCCCTTTGTTCCAAATCAGTTCAACAAATATTTATCACTGTCATTTCTGAATCTTATCCCATAATACCAAATGCAACTAGCTTAGAGTTCATTTTGAAAACTTATTCTTCCAGGTCTAATATTCCATTTTTTTGTTGAAGTAAAACATAATGTTCTATACTAAAACAAAATCTTCTTGAACAAAATGTTTTTATTTCAAATGAGATGATAAGCCAAGTAATTTAAAAGACAATCTTCCAAAGTAAACAGTGCAATTTAAAGGTTATTAAATATCGATATCAAAGTACTAAAAAGAAATTGAAAAACTAGTCCAGCAAAAAATAAATAAAAATAGGTACTTGGCAGCGAGGTAGTGGGGGGAGGGGGAGAGAGAGAGATGGGGGGAAAACTATCCCATTAAAGATTTCGATTTCTGTCAATCCATTAAAATTAATCACTAGTTAAAATGTGAAATTTGTTTTATTTATTTCTCCTGCTATGCTGAATATCAGTTCTTAGTCTTTTCTTTTTCTTATCTTCTTCATGTAATCCATCTTGAAATGTTTTTATGATATCCCAACTTTGCTTAAATAAATCATGCTTATAACAGTGGTGGGATTCTACCGGTTTGGCCTGGTTCAGGTGAACCCAGTAGTAAAAAATGGTTCCATTCGGCCAAACTGGTATTTATTTATTTCTTTTTTCCTCCTGACGATCAGCTGTTCTGATGATCAGCTGTGCTGGGATCCCTCTTGCTGTCTTACTGCTTTGCCCAGGAGGCTTCCCTGAGGCCCAGGAGGTAAAAAGGGGAGCGGTGTGTGTGATCTGTGCAGCCCCCCCCCCCCCCCCTCCCATTTTTTGCCTTTCCTGGGAGCAAAAACACCCCCCCAGGAGGCTTCCCCGAGGCCAAAAAAAACAAAAAAAAACCAGTGTGTGGGAAGGTGCTGCACAAAAAGGAGACGAAGCCACGCCCACCCAATCTCATGGCCGTGCCCACCTAGCCACGCCCACAGAACCGGTAGTAAAAATATTTGCATCCCACCCCTGGGTTATAATTACAGTTCTAACGACATCTTTTCAAACTAAATA